TCCAAACCGGATGCCATACGGGAACCACATTCTGCAAATTATCAATTGGATTATTACCCGAAATAGTATCATCAACACATCACATCACAACACATCAATGACATTGATTCAATGTACTTACCGTTTTTTATATATAGCTGTCTAATGATGATGACCGAGTTCCTCTAGCTGTCAAGGAACTAAATTCTAAGCTATAAACTGATTTGCACTGACGATCAAAAGGTAGTTTTAATATCCGTACGAAATTCAGTTCGTGTATTCTAAGAATTAAATGTAATGTTGACATTTTACCTGATGATATGCAATAGGAATGTTTCGCAGATCAAACGAAATAATTGTTTTATCTACGAAACCCGTTTTTACAAAATGAGTAGAAGAGAGTTTACGAATAAAAAATTTCAGTGTGGTACTCTCTTCGGTCCCAAGCTAATCGATGCACCCCTCGAAACATAGGAAAATCCACGAACCCCTCATTTTATCTGTCAAACTTTCATAGCGAATAAAACAAACATAGTGTAGTACTAGAATTTCGACTAGAATGGGATACGTTCATCGATGTACTTGGGACTGATAGGCTAGTCTAGTGTGAGCCAATTTAAAATCGTTACTTTCCACCGGTTGGTAATACCGTGTCTTTACTGAGTACACGGCGAATGAGAGCGACTCAAATTTGAGTTTAGTTCACTCATAATCGCCAAAAGTGCAGGAACTCAGCGATGAGTTAATTTGCCTCATGTTTTCCCAGGTTTTTCCAAGATTTTCCAGGGAAAAATTCCCGAATTTGAGAAAAGTAAAGATTGGATTCACTCAGTCTATTGGTACAGCTCCGAAACTGAATAAAATTTTCGTCAATTTCCTCATTTTCCGGCAGATTTTTTTAGGTTTTCCACAGGAAACCATGAGACAAATTTTACTCATCGCTGAGTTCCTGCACTTTTGGCGATTATGAGTGAACTAAACTCAAATTTGAGTCGTTCTCATTCGCCGTGTAGACTATAAGTTAGGGTGGTCTTATTCTAATTTCGACCCCTTCTTCTTGTTCTCGAAAGCTATATTGTTAATGGTTCAATAAATCGTCATAAGTTTGCCCTGATTTGATCCACAACTTATGTCTAAAATAAAATATAAAGTGATTGACCTGATGATAACCAACAATATTTAATAACATGAAAAAATCATGGTGATGCTATTCTTGTTTCGTAGATGTCAACAAAATCGTTAAAATTACACCTATTGAAAAAGAAGTCCTAAGATGTTTTTTTTTAAGCTAGAATGCAAAGATGTCAAAGTTTTTACATCCAATAAGTGTCATTTGGAATTTGAGAGTGAACTGCCAACCGCTGGTCGAGTGGTCAAGGATCAGTGAAAATTGCTTTAGTTTTTTAGAAAATTTGTCGCAACGTTATAATAAAAATTAAATGATTAAACGAGATACTTTCTTTCAGCAAAAATGTGCAACTCTATGAGCAGAAAAAACATGTTCTACTTTCACATAAAATTTTAAATGAAAGAGTTATTATATAAAAAAAAGTACGGACACCTCAAATCATAAAAACTGCAATAGAAACATAATCATTAGCTCTATTACTATAGTTTCTATGGCGTAATTTGTAACTTTGTACAAGGTTTAACCATTGGAAATGAAATAATTATTTTTGTCATTTTAAGAACTACCCTATTTGCAACCATGGTTGCAAATTCTCATTTCAGCTAAAACAATGTTTTTTTTATTATGAAATTATTAGATGCCATGATCATATTTTGAATTGGTAGGATACAAGAAGAGGTTGCAAAGAATGTGTTTGACATATTAAACCTGTTTATTTCACTTCATGAGAGTCACAATCAGCGATTTTTTACACACTCACTCACTCACTCACTCACTCACTCAGCGATCAGCAAATCGCTGATTGTGACTCATAGAAAGCAAAATTTACAGGTTTTATGTTTCCAACACATACTTTGTAACCTCTTCTTGTAAGTTACAAGTAAAACATGCCATCATACGATCTTTTGGTTTTATTATTCCGAAAAACATTATGTTCGTGCAACGACGATTACCGCCTTTACCCTAAGCATAACATAGTTATTAAACCAGTCCATAGATGTCACCACTTGTCCGTCTATAATTGTCACTGTTATTATGTATCTACTGTAATGTGCTGTTCTTGTATGTAAAAACAAACAATAAATCTATAAAGTTTAATGCCTCCGCCATGGCAGGACGACCATTACATCGGTCTGTTTCAATTAATAATCACACAACGTAGAAAATCGGGTCCTACCGTGCGCGATCACATTATTTTAGCTGAAATGAGTATTTGCAACCTTGTTTGCAACGAGGGGGGCGACTCTATCTAAGATGCACGATTTTTTTTGCTTTGCTGTTGTGAGATGCACTCGCGAAACACAATTCCAGAACAACATGTGAAAAGGGCATACAAGCTTTTTGTAAACAAACCTTCTTATGCCCTTTTCTCGCCACCCATATGACACCAACGCAAACCTTTAACATCACCGGGTAGGGGACACTTTCCCCTTCCCGATGATATTGCTGGTTTGCGTGGGCGACCCTCGGTTGGTGAGAAAAGGGCCTACAAAGGTTTGTTTACAAAAAGCTTGTATGTCCTTTTCACATGTTGTTCTGGAATTGATTATGATTTTTAAGATTTCCTGCAAAAATGTGGAGAGCGATGTGAGTAGATGGGTTTAAATGCAAGAGATGAAAAAAAAAAAATCGTAGATTGATTCGCTAGTGTGAGATTTTTCGACAGTTTAAAATCGAGATTTAGATGTGTCGCACCCCTCGGTTTGCAACTATCATCAAACTAAAGGCCTTATTATAATAATTGCAATAATTTCACACCAGACTCTCTGCTGGTAAAGTTGCAATTTATGAGTCAAAACATGTACATATTTCCCTTTAATTTTCATTCCTGGACCACTGTGCACTGGGTATATTGGACAATATCAACTTCTTTCTCTTTGGCTGCGTCTGAAACCGAACGGATCACTCTTAAAGTCTCCTTGTTTAATAGTACGTTCAGACTACAGAGTTATAACATGTTATAGCGCTATCTTGATGGTGGTTTCTGTGTTGCAATTATTTGACAACCGTTATAACATGTTATAACTCTCCAGTCTGTACAGCGTTTAAGGATGACTTTTTTTTGTTATATAATATGCAATCATGAAAATACATTGTGTAGCTGGACAGCATAACTAACATTCGAAAAGGTCTAAAGTACACTAATGTAATGGTTATGAATAATTTCCTACAATTAAAATTCGTAATAGCTTGAGAACGGGTAAACTTAGGAATCAATTTTGTATGAGTCAATTCATAATGAATTTTAATTAGAAATCCAGTTTTGCTTTACTTAAAAATGCGGAGATTTGTTATGTTTTAAAAATTGATAAAAACAAACGATCATTTAAACTAAACCTTTAGGAATTTTTCCATTCAACACTCTGCACTGGATTTAGGGACATAACTTCAGCTTTCTTCATAAAAAATTTAAAAAAATCGATCGGCTTTTGAGAAAATTATCAATATAATTTTTAAACAGGAAAGTGATTTGTATCTCACTGTATGTATTTTTTTTTTTTTCTAGATGATCATTTGTTTACTTACAACCAGTGTTGGCAAAATCAGAAATCAATTGATATTTTTCCGCTCTCATGCGCTTGCAATATCACGCGTTATATTGGAACAAAATATCATGCTTGATATTGATTTTACAAGCTCCTTTGATATTGCGAGACTATTCACAACGTGCAAAAATCAAGCTGAGAGTTGACTCGACACACAAATGATTCCACTACACATCGTTTTTTTTTTAGAAAGAGAAAGCATAGTTTGCTAGCTCTTTTTAATCTTCACCGATGGCAGACGCGAAGGGACTGCTGCAAGCCGTTATGGAAGTTTCGGTTGCATTCGGATGTAAAGCAAATATCATTAAACTCAATCTCACCACAGTTTGGTAAAATTTGCAGTTGGTGAGTTTTGTTAGTTTGATGTTCCGAGCTGCGATATCACAGCTTGCAAAATCAACCGCAGTAGTTTGCTTGTTGATTTTTGTCTACGAAAATCAAGCGTGATCTTGGGTGTTGGTGAGATTTGATTTTTTGATATTTTCACAACACTGCTTACAACGCTAAAACTTCTTCTCAGACGTCGTTTTTATCAATTATACTGTATTCTGTGTAGGGAAAATGGTTGTAATGTCAGCCTAAATGCCCCTAATTTGGGCCCATACATAAATTCAGCAATCGACTAAATTTTAAAGAGTGACCAATTTGGTCAACGACGCGTTCATCTAGATAAAATGGATAAAAAGTAGATTTTTAGCGATGAGCCCAATCTTAGATCCATAGGCCAAAATTAGAGCCATTTCCCCTACATTTTTTTTTGTAAAAACTAAAACCTATTTTCACATCCGTTATTATAAAAAGTTAGTCCGGAAAAATAGGCTATTTTTAATGGAAAATTCCACCTTGGGTAGCAAACAACATATGTGCAAACATTCATTTAAATCGAAGAGAGTGATAAACTTATAAAAATGACTACAAGCCAATGCTCAATGCGGAATCTTCCACGAATTCTTTCCAAAACACAGTCTGCTCAACGTTCATTATTTAGATTTTTTTCGTCTTTTGCATCACTGAAAATCAGTGCAGACAATCAGTTACCCAGGCGGATGTATTCGGCCCCAGTACAAACAAACGCAAACATCTCGGCCAGCTGGTCACCGGCTCAATAAACCACCGTGTAAACATCACCAACTATTCAATTCACATGCACGCAATACGATCCGTTTGTCGACTCCACCTCCATGTAGCTCCAATTGCACCGTTCTGAGCGGAGCCATGCTGCCATTTATTTTTATTTCACAAACACGCAATCCATCTAGCATATTTTTAATATCACCCGAAGACAGTAGACCTCCTCCCGACATGTGCCGCCTCTAAATCGAAATATTCACATAAGGAAATCATACCTCATCCTCGCGTGCACTGGTTACATCAACGGTCAAGGCCAACATCGTGCTGCCATAGTTGTCACCGGGTGCGGTCAAGAATGTCGATTTGTAACCCAACACCTTCACGCCCGGTTCCAGTACGGGTTCGAGAAACTCCTTCAGATTCCTAACGGCCGGTGGTTGAGACATTTTGCCCGAAAATCAAACCAATTATCCGTTCAGATCCCTTGGCAACCACTTGTTGAGCTGTACCACAATACTGCACGGGACACAATGAGTAACACAATGTTCGCGCGCGCTTTTCCCCACTCTGGAGAGTCAACTTCGTCTGGAAAATGCAAGCGATCCGATGGAGAGGAAAACAGCAACTGACACCCCAGTGTCGAGAAATGTGCCACTAGGCATATTTAGCGCGCGCGTCGTCAGCTAAGATCGCCTTGTGCAGAAACATAACTCTCCTTCCGCGCTGCTGCCACCGCTAGCCACCCACTGACTGCTGCGGTCTGTTTTAGCGAGGAGGTTCATCCTCTCTGCTATCTTCTGGCGGAAAGCGATACATAGTATGTAGTTCTCTGTAGGTACGATTAGTATATAGGCCAAATAGGGCTGGCTGCTCGACTACGGTGGACGGTGGAATAATAAGGAGCAGCAGCAACGGATAATGTAATTGAATGGGCATAAAATTGAAATTGTTAAATTGCAATCAAATGCCATGCGGCTCCATGATTTGAGATCACCCGTCGTGGAGCTGAGCTGGTTCAAGAACGCCGAAGTTCAGAATGAATGTATGAAAGATGGAAAAGTTAAATTATGCTATGATAGACCACTAGTGAATTCACGGAACTCTTTGGAGTGAGTTCTACACTTTGAAAAATCTTCACATTCGATTTACATGAACACATAGGTGGTTTTCGTCCACTCTATTTTTCCAGGAAAATTTTAACGGAATTGCACGAAGCCGAGCAAAGTTCAGCTTCGATTATCTACGTGACTAGTCAGGTAAATGAAACCTGATTTACGTGAAATTGGAGTGAAAACTACTGGGAAACGCATCATGTATTTGGCTTGCGGCGTTTGACGTTTGTCAGCAAAGTATCATGGCGGCCAGTTAGAAAGTTGCACGCATTAAAAAACAGTTCTGCTCTTGATTCGAAATAGTTAGATTATGGTCTATTTTTTATGGAATCTAGCTAAGTTGTTATCAGCTAACTCGTGAGTGTTCCGAATGACGGGAAAATGACAAAGCCTCATCGCAACCATCCAGAAATGAGTCCAGAAACAACTGTTCTCCGTCTCCATCCGAAATCGACTGTGTTGCTGATCCATTAGCTGTTCCTGCGTTTGGAACGTGATATTGTTCAAGTCTCCAAACCCAGATCTGCTCCTCAAAATCTCGACCGTGATGCACAAGTCGATGAGGATTATTGGTCAGGTTTGATCGATTCCACTAATTTGTGTGTCATCCCCATCCGTGCCAAACAGGGCACTGTTATTTACAAGAATTTATTCGACGAGAGCTTACCTAGGAGTGTTATTATGAATCTTATTGGAAACAAAGTTAGTGAATAAATTTAAACAATGAATAGTGCCCTACACCTTGTATTAATTCAAAATAATTCGAAAATGCAAAATCTCAAAATGATTTTATTTCTAACCTCTAAACTTCATAATAAGAGCAAAATTACATGCAGATTAAATTTTATAGAAAAGACATGTAAATTATTTATCATGTGGTCTTTTTGTTACATCAAATCAGACAGAAAATTACACGTTTCGTTCGTACTGTGTAATCTGTAGGTGTATTTTGAATGAGACCTTTTCAGCTCAGCGACCCCCTTTGTGAACAATTAGGTGTTCCGCGGCCATGGAACTAACTTAGTTCAATCACAAAAACAACCAAAAAACTAATCAGCCGAGGCCAGCAAACAAAAGCACGTCACGGCAGAACGACGATAAACATTCTCTCTTAACCACAAAGCAAGAAGTAGATTCATGATTTAAATGTTATTTATGCACCCCAAAAACACCCCTTCAAACACGATTTAGGCCTGATTTACGGGGATAAACGCGTGTCAGATCGCACGATCGGTACCGAGCTCTACCACAATTTGAATATAAAGAGCAGCAACATCAAGTGACGAATTTCGAATCAAGTGAATATTTCATTTACGAAAATACACCATGAATAAAAATCATGGAATCGTGATCATTACGATTAAAATCACACTTATGGGTTATACGATACGTATCATGGAATCACGAAATCAAGATTTTATTTTGATTTTCTGTAGCGTTATGAAATCGCTTGTCGCGGTGAACAGGCGTGAACTAAGTTTATGGATTTGAGATTAATTGCATGAAAATTCGATTTACTCGATTTTGTTTACGGGAACTAATGCATAAATTCAAATGAAATAGTAGTTCAGCTTATCGTGATTTTGTATGTACCGGAACGGTTATACCTGAACGGTTTTTTTTTTGTTTTGCGTAAATACCGAAACGGTTTTTTTTTTTTGAGCGTGTGGGTGTGGCTAGAACAACGTGATTTAAGATTTAGGCTTTATTTAATAAGATCCACGATTTCAAATCCCAAAATACCCATTAAAACCCGGGGACCAACGGCTTTACTTCCCTTCCAACGGAGTGATCAAAGATTTTATGCATCAGAATATCCCAACGGCACCGACTGAGATTGAACCCAGGCCCTTTGGGGTAAGAGGCAATCACGCTTACCACTACACCACTGGCACCGCTTGAACCTTCCAAATAAACGAACTAGATAAAAACAACTACTCCGACTCTGATTCGAACAAATTATAGTAAAAATGTACTTCGACGAATTTCGGTTCAATAAGTATTTAAGACAAGATTGGTGGGCGTTGGCCAGAATTGGATTTTTCAGATATAATCCTAAATAGGACCTAGATTATTAAATACTCTAGTAACCTCAAGTCCGTGCTTTGTCATGATGTTTCCTTGTGATTTATCAACACTTAAAGGGGTAAAATATCAATTTTGGGGTGAATTTGAAAGGAAGGGAACTCGTAGTGTAGAGCGCACTGCCCACTGGACGATTCTGAAGCCTGGCCAATTGAGTGGGGTATGAGATTATTTGATTGAACGTCATTTCCAATTTGTATATTGATACATTCAAACCATTGGCATTTGGTATTAGAGATAAGACAGAGATAGGATGCGGATGACCCGCTTAGGGGGAGCGTAACCCATGTTATGGTTTCCATTTATTAAATAGTTCAGATAGGCTAGAGTTGTATAAACTTGACGAATCATACATCTAACATAGTAGTAGTTACAGTGTCGCATGATCTAACAACCACTGCCTGCAACTAATGACAGGGCTGATTACGGATCAAAACTAACATAACTCTAACACTAAAATGATCCCGAAACTAACGCTCATTAATTGCACTGTAAGTCATAAAGTAGTTTTATTTATTTTCGGTGGACATTGGCCAAAATTGGAGTTTTTATATATAATCCTAAAAAGGACCTAGATTATTTAATAGTCTAGTAACACAGACAAACAGACATAACACTCGAAAGTTGTTCATCGAACAAGCATTTAACGGATAATTTAAAAGTATCGTAGTTCGTAGTACCGCCACCTGTGGCACGCATAGTCAATTCCCTTGCGTTTGACGTTTACACACTACCGCCATCTGTTCATCGTACTGCCCACCACAGTGTACTCAACAGATGGCAGTGATGTTTTAGCGACGATGCTTTACAGTGAGAAATATTCAATGCGTTATGTCTGTTTATCTGTGCTAGTAACCTCAAGTCCGCGCTCGGTCACAATTTGTATTGTGATTAATCAACACTCAATTGTGATATAAACATTCCTTCACGTAAACTTGTAATTCATTTCACGCAAAGGAACAACTTGTAAGCAATGTTGTTTGCAAAGATTGGCATTTGTATACAATATTTGCAACCTTTTATAAAATGTCTCAGAACTTTACACGATTAAGAATGTAAACTTATATGATATGTGACGCTCCATTGATGTGCATCATATTGAATAGAATTTTACACTACTTTTTCGAACCGTGAACCTTTCAAAACCAGTTTGGCTCTAGAACCATGTTAAACATGTTCTGCATTATTCACATGTTGCAATTATTAAATTTATCGATATAAAGTAGCTTATAACAATTAAATAGAAATGCTAAAATCTTACCGAGTAGATCTGATTTCGGTAAAGTTTGTTGAGATCGGTTATAGTTTCTGAATTTGTTGTTTGTGGATTCCCATTTTGAAATAACTCAGATTAGCACAGAGTAATAGTTTTATTGCTAGGGAACTTTCTTTTGAGATCGTCCTTTCTTCATACGATTTTCATTATTCATACAATATTAATCATGATTAGTCTTAGAGAATTTTGTATGTTTTTGCCCAGTTCTAGATTAGTTTGTTATTAATATCTTTTGAATTGCGCTGGCGAAAGGTTACCAAATATGGGTTCTCTTTTTCATCCATAATAGTTTGGGGGGAGGGGGAGTGAAACGTTGCGATCTAAGAACGAAATAGAGGCAAATAAAATAGGGAACACAACACCATGACCCAAACGGCTAACCAACGCATTGTAGCGCGCAAAATGCGGCTAACGGTTTTCCGTCTTCTGGATCGTTCCCTGGCTCGATAAACGGACGGCTTAAGCGCCACCTCCAAGGAGGACCGTCCGTCGAGTCTTGTTTGCCCGGCTAGAAACCCGACCTCAGGGCGGGTTTGTTCAATCAGAACCAAAAATTTAATTTCAAAACGAAACAGAAGACTCAAACAGCACGATGGATCGAGATTCTACACACAAAGAGGTCGCCACAATCGCGACGAGAGAATAGTTGATGCTACCGGTCGTTCTACCTACTCACGAAAACAACACTCACCAGTATCATCACCGGAGGAACTCACTTATTCAAAAATCCCCGCCGATCGAGACACGTGAGTGGAGAGACTGATTTCCCAGGCAGTCTAACCTGGCGTACAAGAACATTAACACAAAAAAGTAGAACGACGCCAAATGGGAGAATTCACGAAACCAAAAAAAAAGTTACTTGGGAAACTTTAACATTTAACGGAAAAACATTTATTGGGGTAAACTACTATAAAACATTTAACTAAGTTTATTTAATTGCATAACCTAGGTTTACATTATTCGTGTTTCTTCCTCTCTAGTTTCCCTACTGTGTGCAGATTTTGATCTAGTGATCGCTAGCTAGTTTTTCTCATCGAGCTCTTCTTCGTGGTGTGTGTGTGGTGTCGTTAACGCATGCGCATGGTTAGATTAATTGTTGGGTTTACTCACGGTACCGAAATAGCTGC